GTGGAGAAGCTTGAGAGAGTGCAGAGCAGAGCCACGTGCATGGTCAGAGGGCAGGAGCACAGGCCTTATGAAGAGAGGCTGAGAGCCACGGGACTCTTCAGCCTGGAGAAGCGCAGGCTGGGGGGGACCTGGTGGCTCTGTATAAGTACATCAGGGGTGTGCATCAGGACCTGGGGGAACACCTGTACACCAGAGCACCCCAAGGGATGACAAGGTCGAAGGGTCACAAACTCCTCCAAGACTGTTTCAGGCTGGACATAAGGAAGAACTTTTTCACTGTCCGAGCCCCCAAGGCCTGGATCAGACTGCTGCCTATATAGCAAAGGCCCACGCAGCAGGTGTAGTCGTGGTTGCTGCTCGGGTCGATCTCGATGGTGGCCCAGGTCTGGTAGGTCCCGTCTCCACTGGGAAGGACCCATGAAGACCTCGTCTCCTGCGGCTGCACCTCCCCGTTCTTCAGCCAGACGACGGCCACGTCCCTGGGATAGAAGCCGTGCACCCGGCAGGACAGGGCGGTGCGTCCGTCCCGGGACAAGGGCCTGTGGCTCACCTCTGCCACGGGGTGCTCTGGGGGGGAGGAGACCCCCGTTAGAGTGACCGCCCCTGCTGAGCCCTCAGCACCCCTGCCAGGAGCCCGGCTGGGCCCTGCATTGGGCCACACAAACCGGCTCCAGTGCCCATTTCAGGCAGGAGCAGACAGTGTTGGGATAGGAGGCGCGGTTGCTCTGGGCTCGGGGCTGCAAGAGCAGAGTCCCATACAGCTGATCTCTGGTTCTCAGACCCACAGCCTGGCACGAACACCCCGTGGGAGGCCTGACCAGGGCAGGGACAGGGGCACCGTGTCCCACAGCAGTGCTGGGGCCTTGCCCAGTGGCAGGACTGAGACACGGCACTCGCCACCCTGGACACAGGGTGGACCCTGGGGATGTGGGGGGTGCAGGGCCCAGGCAGTGCTGCCCTGAGGGGTGACACCAGGACTCACTGCTCTGCAGCGCTGCCTCCCCGTGCTGCAGGTACTGCCGCAGCCACGCAATGCATGTCTCCTCCAGGTAGGATCTTGTAAGCCGAAGAAGGATCTTATCCTCATTCCACCTGCGCTGGGTGACCTGGGCCAGTGTTGTTCCTGCTACCCAGGTGCACATACCCAGGTCAAAGCTGATGAAGTCTCCCCCATCATAGCCAACCTGCATGTAGCCTCTAGTGCTGCCGTCTTCACCAACCTCACAGCCGTACATGAACTGGAGAGTGTGAGACCCTGAAACAAACATAGATCCAGGCCCTGGTCAGGGTCACAGCCCCAGGGAGCAGGTGCCCAAGGGCTGCTGGGCTGGACAGGGGCAGAGCTGACCACATGGCAGGGCAGCATGGGGACAGCTCGGGGGTCTGGTCATGGAGAACAATGCTGAGGGGACGCAACTGCGGCCCCCGCGCACCCTGGGAACATAGGAGCCCAGAGCTGGGGAGGGGGGAGACAAGCCCAGGATGGAAAGTAGAGCGGTACTTCCCCATGCAGGAGCAGCATGGGGCTGGCAGCCTCCTCGCGGGGCAGCGAGACCCAGGAACAAAACCCAAATAGTGGATGCTGCAGCTGCCTGGAGCTGGGCCTGGACTCTGCATCCCTGGAGGTGTCTCCTGGGCCATGCCCCATCCAGCCTAGCCCCTGTCTGTACTCAGGGGCTGACAGGGCCTGGTCCCTGAACCCCACAGCTCCCTCCACACAGACCTATAGGCTGGGGAACTCTCTTGCCATAAGCACCGTGACAGATAATGACTCCAAGATCCCTTTCTATTAAAAGATGAACATGGTCTGCCAATGTCAGGACACGGTCACTGAGACTAAATGCACCTTGTTGTGCATCCACAGATGCATCTCGAGCAGGTCCAAGGAGGTGATCCTCCCCCTCTATGCAACACTGGTCAGGTCACAGGTGGAGTACTGCGTCCAGTTCTGGGCGCCGCACTTCAGGAGGGATGTGGCCAGCATCGAGGGCGTCCAGAGCAGGCCACCCGCATGATCCGGGGACAGCAGGGCAGGCCCTACAAGAAGAGGCTACGGGACCTGAACCTGTTCAGCCTTCACAAGAAAACTATTAAAACTATTATCATGTTTCTTAGGGACCCCAAATCATAATGGTTGGTGCCATAGGTTTCCAGTGTGCTTTGTTTCAGGCAGCTTGTGCTGTGCTTCTTGTTTTTTTAACAGACATTAGTTTTTCCATGTATAAGCATGCTAAAAAAGTGGTTCCATATCATTTGAACATGTGAAGTCATGCCAAATCATGCAGTATTGTTAATTCCTGTGATTAATTTTTTTGTGTGCATATTTGCAAACAAATGGGCCTTTAAAAATATAACCATAAGCGTAAGAGTTTGCTTTCTTAAAAATAGCTATTGAGTCTTGATGATTCTTGGTAACTTCATTACATGTCTTGGAGCTGGTTTTATATTCAAGGGTATGTGCTTAGTTTCTGCAAACAACTTAGGACAGTGCTGCAGGAAGGAAACATAGTAGTAGATCAGACCCTGCTGTAAATAAAAAGGAGGAAACATTTACTTAATTTTCTGTGCCTATTATTCTGTGCCACATACACAGAAAATGTGTTTATTGTGAAAAGTTTGAAACCAGTTTTGAGTCAGTCTGAGTCAACCACTCAGAGGGTGGTGGTGGATGGATCATACTCGACTTGGGGGGAGGTGGGTAGTGGAGTCCCCCAGGGCTCGGTCCTGGGGCCTGCGCTGTTCAGTTTCTTCATCAGCGATCTTGATGCTGGGGTGGAAAGCAACCTGTTTAAATTCGCTGAGACACCAACATTTGGGGGGAGGTGAGCACGCTAGCAGGGAGAGAGAGATTGCAGAAGGATCTGGATAGGTTACAGGGGTGGGCAAACAGGAACAGGATGTGTTTCAATACGGACAAGTGCAGGGTGCTGCACTTGGGTAGTAGGAACCAGCAGCACACTTATAAGATGGGGAGCTCCCTACTTGAGAGCACGGAGGCGGAAAGGGATCTTGGTGTCATTATTGACTCCAAGATGAACATGGGCCGACAATGCGAGGTCATGGTTGGCAGGGCTAACCGGACCTTGTCGTGCATCCACAGGTGCATCTCGAGTAGAGCCAGGGAGGTGATCCTCCCCCTCTATGCGACGCTGGTCAGGCCGCAGCTGGAGTATTGTGTCCAGTTCTGTGCGCCCCATTTCAGGAGGGATGTGGACAACATGGAGAGGGTCCAGAGGAGGGCCACCCGCATGATCCGGGGACAACAGGGCAGACCCTACAGTGAGAGACTGCGGGACCTGAACCTATTCAGCCTCCACAAGAGAAGGCTGAGGGGGGACCTGGTGACCGTCTATAAACTCACTAGGGGGAACCAGAAGGGTTTGGGGGAGACGCTGTTTCCCCTAGCCCCCGCTGGCATAACAAGGAGTAATGGGCACAAGTTGATGGAGAGGAGGTACAGATTGGACATCCGAAAAAACTACTTCACAGTTAGGGCGGCTAGGAGCTGGAACCAACTTCCAAGGGAGGTGGTGCTGGCCCCTACCCTGGGGATCTTTAAGAAGAGGCTGGATACCTACCTGGCTGGACTCATTTGAGTCCCGTTTTTGTTTTTAGGGTTTTTTGTTGTTCTCCCGCCCTGGCGGGGGGTCGGGCTAGAAGATCTATTAGGTCCCTTCCGACCCTAAAACTATGAAACTATGAAACTATGAAACTTAGAATAAAAAAATTCTGTCTGTTACTTGAACTTCCGCTAGGTGGTTAGTTGTGGTTAGAGCAATGTCTGTGCGGTTAGCTGCTTATACATATAGCAAAATGTTTGACTATGAGTTTCTCTTTGGTGGCTAAGGTCACTGTTCTCCTGCCCTTTGATCAGGCTCGTGGCTCCCCTCTGGACTCTCAAGCTTCTCCACATCCTTCTTGAATTGTGAAGCCCAGAATTGGATCCAGGACTCCAGCTGCGGCCTCATCAAGGCCGAGGACAGCGGGAAGATAATATCCTGGGACTTTCTTGAGAAGCATCAGTGGATGCAACCCAGGGTTTTGATTGCTTTGGTAGCTGCAGTATCATAGTGGTGGCTCATGTTCATCTTCTGGTCCATCATGCCCCCCAAGTCTCCTTTGGCCATGGTGCTAAGGATCACAGCACTGCCAAGACTATAAGTATGATGTGGGGTTTTTTCCCCCAAGGTGGAGCACCTTGCATTTCTCCATATTGAATGCCATCAGGTTTTCATCTGCCCACCCTGCATGCCTGTCAAGGTCAGCCTGGATCACCAGCCTAACCTCAAGTGTGGATGCTCTTCCCCAAAGTTTGCTGTTGCCAGTGAACTTGGCCAGCCCACTTCTGACACCAGAGTCTGTGGCAGAAATGCCACCGTCTGTGTCTCTCTCCAGAAACCTGTCCCGGTCAGCTTGGGACACTGGGGTCAAATTCCTGAGGGAGGGGGGATTTTCCTCCCTGCCTACGTGACAAAAGCCTGGTGCCGAGGCTGTGGTCCCTCTGGTCACCTGAGTGGGGGGAGGCAAAAGCCCCTGCTCCTCTGCCCAGGTAACCAGTGATGCCTTTTAAATTGGTTGGCTAGGTGCCAACACTGCTGGCTTCTATTGGACTGGGCTGCTGAGGTCAGAAGGCTATAAAAAAGGGCCTGGTCAAAGAAGAAGGAGGAGAAGCCATTTTATCAGCATGGACCAAACACCAGGACACAGGGAGAGAGTCTGATCCAACTGAAATGCTCTCTCCCTGGAAATCTCCGAGCCAGATCTCTACCATCTTCTGGATGATACTTGTGTTGCTAGAGAGCAGTCAGCTCCCAGTGATGCATTTGCATATCAACCGACGACCTCAGCTAGACTGTTTTGCTCAATGGTAATCCCTCAATAGTGCTCTACCTCTTACCCTAGTCTAACCCTACCCTCTGTAACCAATAAAGTTCTCCTTTGTGAATGGCGTAGGAGACTTATTGAGGGGTGGGTGTAATTATGCCTAGGAGGCCCCTTAGGTCTGCAGACTAAGGGAGATCATCCTTTCTAGCCCCTGACTTGGGGAGGAGCCCCAAGTGCTTGGACTGGGTCTAGTACCTGTAGGACTATTAGGCCTGTGTTTCCCTGAGAACACAGAACCCAGAAGGTCCCTTCTTGGGGTGGTGGCAGCACGTTACCCCCCACCCCCGGACTCTTCAGTGGGGCTCAAAAGGGGGTCTGCCAGGGCTTAGGCACCCCTGGAAGACACGTGGAGTCCGGAAAGTGGGCGGGCATGGGGAGGTGGGGGGCTTAATGCAGGAGCGCCCCTACTGGCCCGCCACACAGTCCAGGTAATTTATAGACTTTAAAGAGTACAGGCCCAAGGACGGAGCCTTGCGGGGGGGCACTGCTGGTCACTGAGCACTACGTTGATTTGGTTTTGTCAACTACCACTCTCTGGGTCCAACCTCAGAGCCAGTTCCTGTGCCATCAGACAGTAGTGTCGCCAAAGCCACAGCTAGCCAATTTTTCCATGAGGACATCATGGAGTACCATCAATGGCTTTTTTAAAGTCCAGATATATGATGTCACCCTCTTCCTCTTTGTCCAGGTGAAGTGTCACCTGGGTGTAGAAGGAGATGAGATAGGTCAGGCAAGACCTGCCTGCAACAAACCCGTGCTGCCTGTCCCTCAGGATGTTGCCTTCAGCTAGCCTATTGTGAATGTTTTCTTTCATAACTTCTTCCAAGATCTTTCCAGAGATTGAAGTTAAACTGATTGGCCTGCAGTTCCCCGGATACCTACAATCTTGGGAACTCTCTTCTCATCAATGCAGAGGCAATAAAAAAAGGATCTTGGAGTCATTATTGATGCCAAAATGAACATGGGCCGACAGTGTGGGGACGCGGTCAGGAAGGCCAACCGTACCTTGTCATGCATCCACAGATGCATCTTGAGCAGGTCCAAGGAGGTGATCCTCCCCTCTATGGACACTGGTCAGGACGCAGTTAGAGTACTGCATCCAGTTCTGGGCACCACACTTCAGGAGGGCTGTGGACAGCATCGAGGGGGTCCAGAGGAGGGCCACTCACATGGTCAGGGGGCAGCAGGGCAGGTCCTATTGTCACAACCCAAAGTTGTGATTTTTGTTTTTGTGTGTGCTTTGGCACCACTGAATTATTTTCCCACTAAATTGCAGCTTCTTTGCACGGTGGAGTTTTCTGCTGTAAAGGAGAACCCCGGTGCAAGGGAGAATTTCCCGCCAATTTGTAGCTTTCTTTGCATGGTGCATGTCTTTTGCATCTAAGAAATGCTCGGTGCAAAGAGTTCCC